CACTCCCTCTCTCCCTCCCTCCCTCCCTTCGTCCCTATGGGGGCCTCAATCCCCCCTCCCCCCCACCAGACTTACGTGCAGAAGCTGCTTTCCAGGCTGCCTAGCAGCCATGTACGTGTGTATGTCCCCACATCCACATGGTGCCCCTGCCTGACCGCCCTTCTTCCACTCCCCCCAGCCCCTTGCAGGCTGGAACTCTGCCAGCCTGCAGAGAGTTCCTTGCAAATGTGGAAAATCCACTTATTTCTCTGTTAAAATGAAAGATCTGCATTTTTCTTGGTCAAGTGGGAAAATCCATGTTTTTTCCCATTTTCCTGTGTGGAACGAAAAACCTGGATCCCTGCTGAACAGTAATACCACAGTGGTGACGCTGTAGACTAGGAATTAAATCTATGTGCTTCCAGCACTGGATAGAAAATAAGTTTCCCCATTTAATACGTACATCCCAGTTTTGGGGGGGCTGATCTTGGAGGAAAGGGGGTGTGTTGTATGTGAGGAAATACAGTAACTTAAGTAGCTCTTCATGAAATTGCTGTAGCGTCCTGGGATTTGCCTGTCTTGGAAACAAGTGGTGAGTGTCTTATTGGAAAAGGAGATTCTAACCTTGCCAAATGCATACCTTCCTCTCCTAAATCTGTGGGATATTGGATCTTAATCCTGTTATCTGAATATCCTCTGTCCTGGACCTTACCCCTGTATAATTTTAGAAAAGGGAGTAAGGAATAAGCACTTTTTTCCAGTGTTCTGATTTTTTCCTCTTATTAACTGGTGACTGTTTGAAGCTGTTCCAAGTTTGGTATGTTGAATGAAGTTAAACAGAGATGGACTGGTGAGTAAAATGCAGCAGAGATAGTAAAAATACACAATAAATATAATTTATAGCAGTAGTTGGCAACCTTTTTAGTCTGTGGGCTGGACTATCCCAGTTTGAGTCAGAGGCAGGTAGGCAGTTAGGTGCTACGACTCAGCCACCACTACTGCTTCTCCCCATAGCAGCATGGGAAAGTGACTGCTGTTACAGCTTTCTGCTGCTGAATGCTCCAGGTGCACAGGCTAGGTCTGGCCTGTGGGCCATAGGTTGCTGACCCTTGATTTATATAATAACTCTGCAGTTTATTACATGGTTTTGAAACTCATTGGGAGGATGTACCATTACTGCTCCCCACCTGTTTTAGTAATACTTGTACAGTAGAGGCATACACATGCATGCACGCACACCCAAACATATGCATGCGCACCAGGGAAAAATTAATTAGTAATTATAAAATGCAGATTTTAGAAACTAAAAAATGATGGGAAAAGTATTAATCCTGAGGTTCCTGTACGCAAAATTGATGCAGCCTTATATTACATTTATTAGGCAATTAGAAAGAACTAGACAAAGGTGATTTTTGAAAAAGTGACAACAAAGAATCTGTAACATTGTTTAGTTTAATATAACTCTTGACTTTTTTCTTACTGCTGTTAACACACTGGCCATAAACAGGCATTACATTTGTACCATGAAGAAATCCTTTCTCCAGCACAAAAAGCTGTACAGCCATTGAAGTGCTTTCTTGCAGAAGAGAACTGGCTCCTCCACAAGAAACTGAGATTGATTCCTACAAGACAGATCTCTCTCTTCCTGTACAGTTCTCCACTTATCTTGGGTGTGGAGGATGGACACCCAGTATCCCACAATCCTCTGCTCTCTCTCCCTCCCTTTAAAAGAGAGGGAGGGAGAGCCCTGGCTTCCTGATAGCTTGCCTTGTCCCTGTGGGCCCCAGCAGGGAAAGTCCCTAGTACCCTTCTGGCCAATCAGCTGATTGGGGAGTGGGAGGAGGAGATTTTCTCTGCAGGGTGATTTAAAGGCTGACAGGGTAGGGAGGTGTCCCTGGCCCTGCAGACTTAAAATTTTGATGTGCGACACAAAACCTGCCCATTTGGGAATATGTGCCACCCAACCTGCCCATCATGGTCATTTAAAAGCCAGAAAGTCAAGAACTGGGTCAGAGAGGCTCTTCCCAGCTGCACTTCCCCACACCTCCAGCATTAAATCATCCCATGTGCCTGCATACACTGCAATTTTGAAAACAGAGGCTGCCTATTAATAGCCTGC